ATGGTAATACAAATTGGTGACCCATTTCGATCCCCAATCTACAATGGCGCGGTCCGTAATGCCACTATAGAATCAGGCTCAAAATTTTGGCAAGCGTTCTGAATTCCGTCGGTTAAGAAAGAGCCCATTGCATGCTTGTAAAATGAATTCCGCCAGCAGCTTAATTCGTTCGATCATTTAAAGCATTATTTCTTCCGTTTGTTGATTAAAATTAAGACAGAATAAATGTCACGGTAGCTTCTGGCTATTGTTCCAGTTATAAAAGTTAAAATAAAAAAACAGAAACGAAAAATACCCTCATTAATGGGCCATATTCAGTGATTCCTATGTTGGGGAGGGGGAGGGAGATTTTACAATCATGGGGTCCTTTGTCACCCTGCCCCCCCCCCCCCCCCCCCGGTTGCCAAGGCTTTGGCCGCGCCCCTGTTGACATGTGTCGCTCCAACGTCCTCCGTTGACCTCTGGAACTTCACTTCGGGTATCCAAAAACAACAAGCTTCCAAGAGGGGCGGGGCTTTTTAACTATGACACTATGACGAGGGACGCTTACCTAAAATGGCCAGGCCGAATGTTTCGACGACGACAAAACAGTCTGGGGAAATACCGCGCCGAAACACTTTCAGAAAAAAAACTGCCAGCTTGCTACTGGCCACCGCAGCCACTGATGCTTTTCCTCGGATTTCGAAGTCATGGGCACAATATCTCAAAGACCCGCAAGCGCGACTACCCTTGATGTAGAGCGCGATTAAGGAGCATCGGCGCTGTTTGGCCTTCGGAAATACCACGGGAGTTCCGTAATCCTGAACGTGCGATCAGAACCATCAAGGTCACGTGCCCCGTCAAAACGCTGAACTAAGAAATCCAGGATCAACACATACCATAACAGCAGGAATTTCTGAGAGTCCCAATCCGAATCATGATGTAGGCAAGCTATCGGTGCTCCACAGTTCCGGTGCGTTACCCTGCGGGCGGCGGGACGGCACTAGGAACGGCGTCCAGCCTACCAGCGTCGCCGGCCGGACCTCGACCGCCATGCGGGGTCGAGGAGAGGTGCGTGCCAGCCAACCATCCAGGAGGATGAGGGTGGACGAGACCAATACGTTGCCAACACAGCTCGGCGCCAGGCGGCTCCGCATAGTCTGACAACATGCGATGACGAGAATCGGTCCCTAGGCCACTGATCGGCCATTCACTAAAGGCCAAGGGTTTTGGTGAATGAGTCATATACTTTGCGACCTCAGTGATCTGCACTCTTCTTAGTGACACCTAGATTGCCGCGGACATCAGGCGGTATAGGCACAGATCACTGCCACTGCAGAGCTCAGAGCGTTGCCCAGCCGGCTGGAGGAGAGGTCGGATTGTTGTCATGACATCTAATGGAGGGCTCTAAGCAAACGAATTGTGCTGTTCATGCGATTATACAGCGCTGAATTTGTTTGACATGAATGCAATGGATTATGAGTCACAACTTCAAAGAATGCTCTTACGTGTTTCCCCGGACAGTGTAGCTGTCAACATCTAGTCACGTACTTATCAATACAGCAATAAATTTGGTATTAGGGGGTACGTGCACTCGAGGGCTACTACATGTGCATGCCCCTGCTTTTTCCCGAAGTTGGAGGCTGGAGTGCTATCCCCAACTGGATGGGAAACTTCACCCCTGGGTTAAGAAGTGTTTGCGACCACATTATGGTAGGTGTACGGGCTGGCGTATTTCGCGCGAGGGAGAATGCAGAACGCCGCCTTAGCGGACCAACGCCAGATTGTGAGCGAAAGGTCAGATGATGTCCTGACTTTTCGTAACTCAACGGATTTTGCTTCCTTTGATACGAGTGTTTTAAAACAAACTCCCGTTGGTGAAAGATATTATTGCTTCTTCCGTCTGGACTCGAGAGATGTCATTTCTTGCAAGGCTTTGACCATCTTGGGAGCGAGCACTCGCAGCCACCTGTTTCAAATGACACGACGCTTTAAAACACGGCGTAGCAGACTGGTTCCTTCCGTTGTAAGATGCTGAGGCAAGCCACGTTTCTTGCGACTAACAATAAGCCTGGTTATTTGGTATTTAAGTGTGTGATGGGAATCCTGACTGAAAAGTCTGTGAAAAGCTACTATGTTCGGAGGCATTTGCGGCTCAACTTGCTCATACAGCAAAACATCAATGTTTCAACACTTGGCCTACGAGAGCTCACGTTGTAAGCGTTAACGGGTACAGACTTAAGACGCAACTTGTCAACCGGTCAACCCACCAATTTCTGATTTGCCATAACTCGTAGGATTTTGACTGGGCTGTGGGCCAGACTTGGCGGGCTTTTACGCGTCAAAAATTTTAGCGGGAAAATGATGTATTTTTGCTATTTCTTAGGCTTTGAAATTACGCCAAAACGAGGGTATACCGCGAATCGCAGCCAAATCAAGAAACAAACATGTTTTTATTTTCACAGCGAGGGCACCAGTGACAGACAACCCATGGAAGGCGTAACACACCAGTTAACCGGGTTACATAGAGTGCACAGCCTTAAGCAAACATCTCACAGAAAAAACAAATCATGAATAATAGCTCAAATTTTCAAAGCTGCAGCCTGATTTCATTGATCAGCAGTAGGTGGATCTTTAAAATAAATACAACTGCACACTGTACTTGGCTGTTATTGTAAGGGTGTGGTGTACTCAACCTGTCTTGATGTACAGAAAAACCATACCTCACAAATCACAGTCGATATCTATGAGTAATGAAATCCGTGGGCACCTGGTAGCCTTTCGGTGCCCTGGCTTCACTCGCTTCTCGGTACAGCCAGCAGTTGCTGGCGTATCAAATGCGAAGCAGTTGTCGAAACTGAGAATCGTGATGGCATAGAGTTTGTTTATCTATATCTGAAAATGTAATTTGCGACCACGGCTTCCGGACATTCGCACAATACAGTTTTCTCTTACTGTAATTGCTACTATTTTGCACAAAAGCTTCAGTGCTGTTTGATTTTTTGTTTCTTCCAATATTGTGCCTGCTTGCAGTTCTGAGTGAAAAAAAAATCATCTCAACATATGACGTCATTGATACATTCGATTCAGATTGAAAGTTGCCGTCTGCAGGTTTTGTATGCTGGCAAGAGTTCCAGTAAATTGTTTCAACAAGTTTTGATTGTTTTCATAGAAGTTCTTTTCCAGCGTGCAACAATATGTCACAGTTTTCGCGACGCTGCTGAATGGCAATGATGTCACTGGGAGGAGAATATCGTGGACAATATATTCTTGCCATCTTTGCTTTCACGTGGCTTTCACGCAGCATTACACAAACCGCGCGGAGATGGTTGTGGCTGGAACGTGGATAGTGATAAGATATATTGGATAGAAGTGGATAGAAGCAGGTAATATGTGGACCACCTCAAAACTACCATGTGGCTCTGATGTGGTGTAGTCGCATGATATATCCATTTAAGGACAGCAAACACCATATAGGAGGCTTGCTCTGGTTCTTCGATGAGAAATTTGACATAATGACCATAGTGACGCAGTCGATTGCTAATCAAGCTTATGCACATTGTAATGAGCTGACACTTCACATGACTAAAAATATGCTGCATTGTTTAACCCTGTCAGTGCAAAGCTACCAGTTGATACATGCCATTTTAGAACAAATGACCTGTGGTTTATTGAGATCAGTTCGAAGGGTGAAATCTTTGGAAAATTTTGTGAAAGACAAATTTCATTTCCACGATCTTTCTCGTTTGTAGCTGAAAACTAATATCGCAGTGTTTAGGATCTACTCTAGTATTGCAAATTCCGTTGTGCAAGTATTTTGATTGCTGCTCACTGAGTAACAACATCGGTGTTAGCCAAACAATGCCATGTATTAGATAACACATGCCATTTTATGCACACTTAAAGGTCTAACTAAAGGTCTAACTATAGCACACTAGAGGGCTAAAATCAAGGTAAAATTATGAAATGCACATTGCAATAAATTAGCACTTGCGGGGTAATTGCGAATCAACATTGTGGCAGGGCGGCCTTTTGCCAGCTGCATCACTACCTACCGAGGGCGGGCTGATCTGCCGGCAGATATTTTGGGGGAAATTGTGTCCCTAATAAAGACTAATACTAAGCTGTGAGTTTGGTGTGATGGGGATGGTCTGTTGTAATTTGTTCCCATTTTCGCACTTTTGGCACCAAATAGACTGCAAAAGTGTCAATTTTCGTCACCGATCACATCAGGTAGATCCGCCGTGTGTTAAATTAAAACCCGATTTTATAGTAGGTCTTATCACTAAACCCAGTCTTACTGTGCTCACAACTACGAGTCACAAGAGCCATGTGACAAACCCTGACAATTTACGCACACATTTGAAGGGACTTTATTCTATGATTGCACGGTAAGACATTCATAGGTACATTGACGAAACGAGCAGCGCACATGCGGTGTTAAACCATCCACGTAATGCCCCAAGATCACGCAAAAACTTGCAGTGCGCCCGGCGTCGGCGGGGAACAAGAATGCCATCATGTGCAGCGGTCAACGAATAAATAGTCTACATCACATCAACGATCACATAAGCCCACTGAAGGATACCTACTACGGCAATTATTCACACGCAACGGCGCACCAGTACAAAAAGACCGAGCCGGACCGGACATACTGAGATCAGAGCGTGGTCAACACACGCCTTGCACCTGCCTCGAGCACTGCCCGACGCACGGACGTCACTTCCCTCTGACCGTGACGTCACTGACGTCCGTGAGCGCGGGGGTGACGTGCCGGCGCGAGCGGCTGTCGGCCCGCTGCAGTGTTGGCGCGGGAGGCTGCGCTGTTGGCACGGGCGGTGCCCGTCTCAGCGCCGCGCCGGGAGCTGGCTGCGTCGTATGCTACGCGTGTGACGGTGGGCCTTCGGTCCGATGAGATCAGCCTACAAGGTCGGGCCTCTCGTGAGGGGCCGGTGGGTGTCTCCTACAGGTGCGGACCGTGTCGAAGGGGAAGGGGACGGGGTGGGGGGGGGGGGGGGGGGGTGTAGCGAGCGCGGCTGGCGACGTTCACATGACTGGGGCGGCGGCGCTCACACGCGGCGAGCGCGGCGGACTCACACGACACGGACTCACACGGCAGACGCTCACATAGCCGAGCGCAGCCGCTTGTTTTTGGCGCGGCGGTTCTTGAACCAGAACTGCACGTTCTTGGGCTCGAGCTTGGGGAACTTGTGCCGGTACGGCTGCCGGTTCAGCTCCTCGGTGTACTGCAATATGGTGGTGTGGCACGGGTGTGTGTTGAGGCTAAACCACTTCTCCAGCATGGGCACCTCGCTGATGGGGTCGATGAAGGTGCGATTGCGCTTGCGCTGATGTTCGGCCGACAGCGGCACGGCCGGGTAGCCGACGCCCTGCAGGCCGGGCAGGCAGCTCGACATGTACATGGACATCGACTGGCGGAACACGGACGGGTCCACACCGTAGCCGATGCGCTCGAAGTGCGCCGACGTCATGTGACCCATGTAGGGCGAAGGGAGCGTGGCCGGCGCGCCGTAGCCGTGCCCCTGCGGCGAGCAGCTGGCGCCCGAGTCGCGCCGTTCGGCCTCGGCATCCGAGCCATCCGCCTCCGTCTTCACCTCGTCCAGCGTGGCGTCCGAGCAGGTGACGCGCAGATCGTCGCCGTCGGGCTCCTCCGAGGCCGAGAGCGAGTCGTCGCTGGGCTCCGGGCCAGGGCCCGCCAGCCCGCTCTGCGCGCGCTGCTCGAACTTTTTCTGCGCCGCGCGCGAGTTCTTGAACCAGTAGACGATGTTGTTGATCTCCAGCGGCTTGCGGTTGCGGCCGCCTCGGTACACGTTCAGCTCCTCCATGAAGTACTGCATCTGCGGATACGGACAAGGCTGCAGGTTAGGCCACGTCGTCGCTTGAAGTCGCAGCACCCCATCACTCGCGGCGCACTTGAACGGCGCACAGTGACGTTTACGTGAACAGGAGGAAGGCCAGTTCTCTGTCCCCTCCCCGCATGCAGACAGATGGCGGCCCCTGCTGGAACTGATGCCTTTGCAACCTACCTGCATTTTATTCGGGTGCGGGTTGATTGAGTACCACCGCTGCAGCTTGGGGATCTCGTACTCCATGTCGAAGCTGGTTCGGACGCGGGGCTTGCTGCACTGATGGAAGTGGTCGTGGGCAGCCTGGAAGGGACACAAATGCCATGCTTCTCGTCTTCGCAAGTGTCATGGCCCGCCAGCCGACAACGCACTGACAGTGCCCTTTAGTCAGGCTTGCGCTCATTTTTCGGCGCCTTTTTACAAGGGAATGCATCCACGCATCTAACTGCATCACTTCCTTCAGTAGCATTCAAACGCTGACCGACTTTCACCTTACCAGACACGGTCGGTTGGTTTTCTGTCTTTCTCACGACTGACGGAGACCCGACCTCAGATTTGGCGCGGGGACCTCATCTCAGGCTCAGAGTAGTGGTGAACTCAGACCTTGGCCACAGACCTTGCCATGCCCTGACCTCAGGTGTTGCTTCACTTGGCACGACCGGTCGGCTGCGCGCCCTAATCATGCCTGGCATGATTTAAATTCAGATTCAGATGCTGATTCAGCGTGTGTTTATCAAAGATCCGCACCCATGGTGGCGTTTCACGTAACGCGTCAATAAAATTAAAAAGTTGAGGACAAATACCTGAGCATCCCTCTAGCCAGGCTCGAAGTGCGCACGACACGTTAAGTGTGCATGAGGTGCTGACCTCAGGTCATGACCTCACCTGACACGAGCTGTTTATTTCGGGCCTGTCGCGTGGCTCAGCCGGCTGGCTGCGCCCCAGCTTCTGTCCGTTGTACCACTGGTTGAAGCGCTGCACCGCCTCGGGTGACAGATTCGGGAGCGTCTCGGACGTCAGCCGCTCCAGCGTGCCCTGCGGACACAGGGTGCGGATCAGGTCAGCGGTCCGGCGCTCCTGCACGCTCAGCACACGCAGAGAAGGGTCAGCCCAACCGCCCCCCCCCCCTGCAGACTGGAACGGCGCGGTATCGCGCCTTCGTTTCGTGTCCGCGCAGCCGCCGGGATCTCTCCCTCGCCGGAGATACCGCAGTAGTTCCTTTCGTGTCCGCGCCGCCGTCGGGATCTCTCCCTCGCCGAAGAATGCCGCAGTAGTTCCGCCGCACCAGGATTGTCACATCTGCATTCCATGAGCCAGCGACATAAGATTCTAGATTTATCGCGCCCGTAACGCGCAGTCGGGACTAATCACGTCAGCCGCGCCGCGTCTGTATCCGCCGCGCCATTAACGTCGCGTGTCAGGTGTCGGCTCAGGTCCGGCCGACGCTACGCGCCTGCCGGCCGATAGCAGCAGGGACGCGAACAACAGACGCGGGCGGCGGTAACGACAGGCGGCGCCGGTGGCGGTCGTGGCGCGCCGCGCCGGTCCCCGCCGCCGTACATCACGTCACCAATTATGGCTGCGCACGCACCTCGGCCGCTCAGCGCCGCCGGCCGACCAGCAATCCCCTGGAAAGTCGTAAAGTTGGCCTGTGCGCCACAAATCCCCATTACCGGAGGAAATCCCTAACAAATCTAAGAATTTATGTGAGATTATTGAAGATCAGTTGCAATTGTCCGCGTGGCTGGAGCCGGCATCAAAAACTGGCGTCAGTGGCTTCGTTTGGGGCCATTTCCGACAATCCCCGTGATGGAGAGCCGGCCATAACTCAGCGGCCGGCACGGATATTGTGTACTTTCTGGCCGCGCTGGGGCTCCCAGTTAAGATGTCCGCCGATTGGCACTCTCAATAAATCGCGAGGTGTGAATCGAACGGCAGTCCGGCCGACGCGCGGCGGAAATGGGCGACCGCTGCCCGGTGGCGCCTGGCGAGCCTGGGACGCGCCGCCGACGACCGCCGAGACTCCAGCGGCGTCAGGTGGGCCTGCCACCGGTGGGCCTGCTGCCAGTGCGGCCTGCCACCAGTGTGGCCTACCACCGGTGGGCCTGCCACCGGCGGGCTTGCCACCGGTGGGCCCGCTACCGGTGGGCCTGCCACCGGTGGGCCTGCCACCGGTGGGCCTGCCACCGGTGGGGCCTGCCACCGGTGGGTCTGCCACCGGGGGGCTTGCCACCGGTGGGCCCGCTACCGGTGGGCCTGCCACCGGTGGGGCCTGCCACCGGTAGGCCTGCCACTGGTGGGCCTGCCACCGGTGGGCCTGCCACCGGTGGGCCTGTCACCGGTGCGGCCTGCTGCCGATGCGGCCTGCCACCGGTGCGCTCGCTGCTGAAGGAAACTCGAGTAACTGGACGAGGACGCCATTATGAGCGTCGGGAATGTCTGGTGTTCGGATGAGGTGAGGGCGTGCATGACAGGCATTTGTGTGGGCCAGCGAGCTCTCAAGCCGGATCTGTGGGTGGATGGCAAATGACGCTTCGGCAATCCCGAATACAACCGGCCGATATCATCTATATCCTGCTTATTCTGTACTCATATGAGTTCAGTCTAGTAAAAAATGCCAGCTCGCCGCTTAAAACAACTGTGCCCACCCCGCTGCCCCGAGGCGTAAGCAATGATAGGCTTAGGGGCCCTCAAAATACACATGTGTACCATGATATATGCCGTCCCATGCTGTCGGTTAGCTTGTTCTTTACGTACAAAATCGTCGCTCTCATCTACATAGCAAAATAAGAACTGCGATATAATCAGGGAGAAAAGGCTTCCACACACAAAACTCAGACATGCCAAGTGCGTGAGGGCTGCCAGAAACCAGGTTCACAAACACACACGTTCAAGCCGAAAATGTTTGTGAACGAAGTTTTCTAAATAGGCCTAAAAGGTTCGTTATCTTAAATTTCGAGCGAAAAAAGTCGGATCGGCTGGGCACCTCTCGCGGAAAGTAGGTAGCCAGTTCACTCTCAACAATGAAGGAAAGGATGTAACGCGATATAGCACAGCACAAAGCACAGTTCTGGGCTGGGCAAAAAGCACAAAACTGGGCCTACCTTCTCGTCATGTGTATATCTGCAGATCGTTCTGCGCTTCAGATGAAAGACATACCTGCTCTATGACATCGTGATCAAAAGTCACATTCCATACGGATCGCCACGAAAAGCGTCGTGACGTTTAAAACATTCTTTCAGCCCCTGCACCCCACACAGCGTAGTCCGAGCTATCGTGGCAGTTCGCTTACATCCCGCCGAGCTCGAGCTCCCAAGAACCAACGCGGCGGCGCGGCTGGGTCGGCGCTATTCCGGGTGTGCCAGGGTGGGGCTGGTGACCTGACCCCGGGCGGCGGTGTCAGCTGCCTGCTGTCCCGCCGGCGGCGACGCGGCTGGACCACGGCCGCAGCCGCCGCGGTCACGTCTCGGCAGTGGTGTCAGCGACAACGACCAAGCTTCATCGATACCGACGCCCGTCGTCTCTCACCGGCGCGCTTTACTTTTATATCGACCATCGCAGTAAACCGGCGGCCGCATTACTTTTATCGGCCTGGTTAAAACGTCACGCGGGGACGGTAAATCATCATTTGCGGTCAACCAATCTTTATTATCGAGGTATCATCGCCTCCGTGTCCCCACCAATCATATTTATCGCATCATCAGCCCATTTAATTCCATTGGATAACCTGCCGCTGGCCTGTTTAAGAGATCTCCGAAATGGCGCAAGTTCGAAAACTCATCGATGAATTCAGGAATCGGAGATTAGAGGGCGCGACGAAGGCGGCGACACCCTCTCCCTCTCTCTGAGAGACGGCGGCACCGGCTTCAATATGGCCCGGCTGATGATGCCTTCCCAAGGGGACCGATAGTGGCGAGATTTATCGCCGAATTCCACCCAAAGATGGCGCTAGACGTCGCGTGGTGTGAGGCGTTCGGGTAAATCATTGATGGAGTCCCGGCTGGGGAAGCGACGACATTTAATTGGCAAACGTGCGACCTCGCTAGGAGGGATACTGGTACTGAAGCACTGAAGCGAAGCGTGCGAGGAGGACCACGTGTGCCTAGGCGATTGGACGTCATCGTGTTTAAGTGATTACTATCGTATCTATTGAAGATAGCTTACAGCCCGTTACGCAAGGCTTGAAGCGATGAGCCGAAAACATGAGGTGCGTAACCATTATCTGAACCTAAAATATCAAAACTGACTTACAAGAAAACACAACAAAACAATCATGCTATCGTACAGACGAGGATGTGATGTCCCAAAACCTACCGGTCGCGCGAAAACGCATTTCCTATTAAAATGTGGCACGCAATGATGCAGAACAAAACCGCACCACAAGAACAAATCACCATACAACACTGCAGCTGACGCATAACACGATCGTGGTCAAGCTCTCTGATGACGTCAGAGTCTAATTAGCTCCCTGATGACGTCACCCAGCAGGTTAAATGAATGCGAGAGTGCGATGACATCAGACTCAGCTCGGCCAATGGCGCCTGCCACCACTCACCTTGGCGCAGGACAGCGGCCAGAGCACCCGAGGGCACCAATCCTAACACCGGCCAGGGCGCACCCTGAATCCGGCCCGCGCGGGGGAGACAGACCTGACTCAGCATATCCGAGGACAGCCACGGGGCTGCGGACACCATGCCCATCTCGTCCAGGCAACAGACGGTGACGACAAGGGTGCCAGACTCACCTCGTCTAGGGGAATCCGGCGGCAGCGCGGCTGCCAGACTCACCTCGTCCAGGGGGCAGCCGGCGGCTGTGAGGATGCCGCTGCCATGGCTGACCAGCAGGCGCAGCAGGCGGTCTTTGACGTCAGCCGCCTGGCGCCCCGTCGGTGTCAGGCGGCAGCACACGTGCAGCGTGGCCGCCGCCACCACGTCACTGAGGATGTCGTGCACAGTGTGCGCCTCGCTGCCGCTCACCTGGTCCAGCGTCAGTGGCTTCCAGTTGCGCAGTGACAGGTACGCTGCCGGCCGGCGCGCCAACCGTCAGCCGGCGGAGACACAGTGACGCAGCCGGGGCGTCGGGTCGAGCCCCGCGCCAATTCAAATGATTTTGACAGTCTGTTAATTCCTCACAGAGTGTCACAGTACATCAGCCGTTGTTGCCGTTACGCACACCCATTTAAAGCGCTCCATGGGTCATTCAGAGAGTTAGCGGCCGTTCGCCGCACCGCGAGCTGAGCGGTCCACCGCGGCCGTTCCGTCCGCTCGGTGACAAACACCGTCTAGGCGGCGCTGCGCCGGCGCCCCTCACCCGTACTCTCCGGCAGGTTGACGTGCTCCAGGCCGCACTTTTGCAGCACGGTGGCTGTTATGTCGCTGAATTTCGTCGACGACGGGATTATGGCGTAATCCTCGATGCGACGCCGCCCGCCGCTCCTGACATCTGGCGGCAGGTCGATGAACTCCACCACAAAGCGGACCGGAAGGGTAGCTGAGCTCGTCACTGAAAGAAAACAGGCAATTTGAGAGTGGTGCGTTCGATAATTATCTAAAGCTCGGTTACTGTCATGGACAACTTTCAGACACAGGAAAAGGGATCACGACAGAATACTGATGGGGATGGGGAAGAGGGGCGCGTCGCACAAACTAACCTCATAGCACCGCCGATCAATTCTCAATTAGCCAGGTTATCGTTTCAGCTACGAGATGAGACGATGATCTCAAAGGAGTGCAAGTGCTGACTGCAACGAAGCCACACCTAGTAATTGCAATGCTTTGCAACTTTCAATGCGTACAACATCCTAACACAATGCATGCATATCAAGCACATATTTCAACAGACGGTCTTAACGTTCAATACGAGGACAGATTGCGTCGAAAATATATTTCTAATGGCACTACTGTGATGCATAAGGGACCCGGCTATCTGCAGCCAACTGCTCCCCGTGGTGTGCCAAGTCTCGAGGAATGAGGAGATTTCGCCGCACTCTCGCCAATCCCCGGCCGTGGACAAATTCGATTTTGTCGGCTCAAATTCGTAAGCTTACCCAATCAAAAATTCATCTCTAAGTCTTCTCACACCAATCCTATTCAGATGGGGTTTAGCGTGGTCGAACCGCGGTCGAGGCATGTGATTCGGCCTCCTTCGGAACGCATTATCACGCGCCCGCGCGCAGTGCTCGATAGACGAGAGGAGCGCGCCCGAGCGCCGGGCGGCTGAGGGGGGTCGCCGAGGCGGCGGACGCCGCTGACACTGCTGCAGCGGAGCGCCGACCTCAGCTGCCGCTGACTATCAGCAACGCCGACCTCAACGGCCGCTGACTATAAGCAGCGTCGACCTCAACGACGGCTGACTATCAGCAGCGCCGACCTCAGCGGCCGCGGACTATCAGCAGCACCGCAGCCACCGGCTGTCTAAAGCCCGGACCCGCTTCGGGGATGCAGCGTACTCTGCAGCATGGCTTGGTCAGGAAGGAGTGACGAGGCGACTGGAAATGAGGCCACAAACTGATCTGAGTTCGGAGCTCTTGCCGAACGGCAGCTAATTGGGCGATTAAAACAATAGATAAGTCTTTGAAGGAATACCTGGTGTCCAGGATTGACGTGTAAGACGATGGTACGAGCCAAAACAGTCGCAAGCACGACTAATACGGCCCCTGAGACACGTCGGCACTGCTCTCTCGTGCCAGTCTTACGTATTATGCAAGGCACAAACTATAACCTTTCGGAGAAACGATAAGAGGCAGCTTTATCCTTGATTACTTTTTCCATCAGCCGCCATGAATTCAGTCATCATTTGTATGAACTTGGCGGAATGGGAGCGCGTGGTGCCTGCAGCTCAGTGACTCGGTACCTATCAATGGTTCCCCGTGATACTGTTGATTGTGGATGCTTTATTATCTGTGCACTTGATTCGGGCTGGTGCGTGGCACCCAAGAATAATTTGATTTGGTATAATGTGTTTGCTGACAAACGTCGTTTGCTTGACTGAGCTTCGCCGCGATAGCTCAGTTGAGGGGTCACATGTTCTGGCCATCACGTCACATGCATATACAATCAATGGAAGGCACTCTTCTTGCTACTGTATCGAGCACCGACAGCGGGCACAAGCTTTGTAACTCACATTTCCGTAACTCGTAAAATGCGTAACTCCCTGACTCACATCTGCGTTGCTCGTGAACTGCGTAATCGCAAATGGCGTATCTGCACGGCTCACATATGCGTAACTCGTTAACTACGTTATCACAGCTGCGTTACTGCGTAACTCACATCGGGCCACCGTTCACAGCAGGCGGCACAGAAAACGCGAGTAGCAGGAAACGACCGCCTGTCACGCCCCGGTCTCCATTCAGTGCAGCAGTCGCACGGCGGTGACGAGGCCCTGCGAGATGGCTATCAGCTATCGACAGGAGGCACGAGTTGGCGTTGGTCGGCGTTCGTAACCCACAAGCATTACTGCTGTCTCAATCCCCGCCGCTCGGTGTAAATGTGTGCCGCCGAATGACGGGGATTGGCGCCGAGGTCATGGGAAGGGAGCAGCAGCCAGGTACATGGGAAGACATACACGGCCTAAGGCATTGGGCAGACGGAAAACGTAACCTCGACTGAGCAGCCGGTTCCGGTACTCGTGATCCTGACGAGACATTTACGATGTCTAATTCGCGACTTGACCAGGTTGGATCCCACGCGGCGTGGCCGTTCACTTCCTCGTGCTCGTGGGCCATCACGCGGAGAAAACAACCGAGTCTGACGACGAGTCAGGGTGGACCACAGCGCACGGATATCTGGGGGCGCATTGGGAGCCTGGTCAGCCAAAGGTGGACAGCCGCACGCGGAGAAGAGCGGCCGGTCGATAACAGGAGAGCGCGCCTCTGGCCGCGGCGCTCCGCGATCACACAGGACCCCAGCTGGAGCGGCGTGCTTTCCACGTCACTGTTTTTCCTGTCGCTGCCATTGAGGATTACCAACAGGCAGATTAGAAGCCCCGCAGCTGAATCGGATTAGGGGCATGATTGATGATCGCAGACGACGGCAGATTACCCATAATCCTCTGCCGCCACTCTAATCCTTTTGAAGGGATCGGACCTAATCCGCACATTCAGCTTGGCGAGCTCTAATGTTGGCGCCGGCCGCGGCCTGGCTGGTCTAGGCCGTGCGCAGGCCGGGTACATATGGCGTAACCTACCAACCAAGCGGCTCCGCCGAATCCAGGCTCCTGAAAAAGCTCGTCGTCGCAAATATGCAGCCTCCGGCTCAAAGCGGTGACAGAGATGGGGTTTCTGTGTACCGCGCCAACTTAACTCCCGGCGAAGAGGGGATTTGGAATACGGCCGGATTCATAGGATTTGCTGTAATCCCGACGCAGGGGCATCACAGAGAGTGTTTTTCTGTGATAAACTGGGAATAGGACGGCGACGGCGCGGCGCCAGGCCGCCGCCCCAGCTGCGTAAAAGGATGACGACCGAAGCCATAGGAGACAGCGCGGCGCAGCCGGCTATGCACGCTCCTGATAAGAGAAACGCGTCGAGCGTCGGGCGACGGCGGCGCGCTGGCGGCCGGCCGGGCCGGCGGTGGGGCAGGTCAGGGCAGCGGCGGCCGACGCATCCCCGCGGCCGCCGGCTGCGCGAACGTTCTCGTCCGTCACCAGCACGCTAAGACGCGCAGTCAGCTGACAGTGATAGGCCGCTCAGCAACTTGGGTTTAGCCGCCGCAGCACGTTTGACCGGCGGGGCACGGATCGTTGTAAAAATGTTAATCCGTCTCTCATTTCGAAGGACGCGGCGTATCCGGCTTGCCTGTTTTTGCAGCCGGACCGGGCCGGCCCCAGCACGTCACGTAATAGATCTGCGGATTACAGAGCAGTTACGACGTCCGTGACGGCGATCCGGTCGCTGAATGAACCGGAGCGGTCTCACTAAGCCGGCAAATCTCAGGACCCGCGCGCGTCCATGATGAATCCCGGACTTCCTCTTCTTCTGAGGACCTATTACGTGCGGCTTAACTTTTGGGCCGGTGAAATTTGGGTTCAGCACGGCTGGCCAGATGCGGTTCCTTCGTTTGCCGACTTAGTCGGCTGGTGGAACTGCGGCCGGATCCCAGCCGCCTCATTATGGGGGATTTTCTAAATACGTCTTTGGTAAATGCCCCGGGATGAAAAGATAATGCCCGCGGTCGATCAAATTCAATGCAGCACTGAGGCACGTGGGCAGTGCGGACCACGGCTACCGTGCCTGGGGAGCGCGGCCACCGGGTCTGTGCTGAGGCACGTGGGCAGTGTGGACCACGGTTACCGTGCCTGGGGAGCGTGTCCACCGGATCTGTGCTGAGGCACGTGGGCAGTGTGGACCACGGTTACCGTGCCTGGGGAGCGCGGTCACCGGGTCTGTGCTGAGGCACGTAGGGCAGTGTGGACCACGGTTACCGTGCCTGGGGAGCGTGTCCACCGGGTCTGAGAATCCTGTCCAACGGGTGTGTGGACCACGCCCACCAAATGCGGGCGCGCTATCGACGGCTCGTACTGAAGGTGAGTCGGTTCTCCTCGCATGTTCGCGCTTCAACACCGCCGCCTGAGTCTTGACTCGGACTGCGGACCGGCCGTCATCGCTCATGAGCCGCATCAGAGGGGCGGTCCGCGCGCATGGAGTCCGGGTGTACCTCCTTAGACCCACCCGTGGACCGGCCGGACGTGCCCCCTGGGCCCGAGCCCCGTGCACGCGCCGCACGCCGGCCGGCGGTCCACGTACCGAGCCGGCGGTCCATCTATGGGGACCGGTCCATCTGTGGGGACCGGTCTCGATGACCGCCCGCAGCGCCTGGCGACCGCGGGGCCGGTCAGTTTTTGCCCGGCGGCCTGACCCTGGAGCGAAGCCTCACGCGGCGGGCCGGGTGCACCGGCCGGTGCCAAAGCGGCGCCGGTGGCGGCGGGCAGCGGCCCCGAGCGGGGCCCCATCGGGGCCTCGCCACACGACCAGCTTAGGCGATCAGGGGAAGCGGCGAACTGAGCGCGACGTCGGTGAAATTGCTACAAGAGATGGCGTAGGTGCTCGCTGGGCCCGAAAGGGAGAGGGCGGTGCGAACTGCGTGCGTGTGGACCCACAGCTGGCGTTTCCAGGAACATACCTGGGCGGTTGATCTGATCAGTCAATGTGGTTTATTTTGATATCGGCGTAAGTATGACCAAGCTCAGGAACAGATACAGTCTGGACAGACAATAGCTATTTAGCTCCTGAACCTCCCAAAACTAGGAACGCAAAACAGAGGACCAAACACAGAGGTGCCACATGGGGCAAACTGGAGCTTGGCTGCAAGCCCTCGACACAGATTAAGGCTACTAAGTCAGCAGCTGCCAATGGCATTTCCCAGTGCTCACCGCAGCGACATTCCTTTCTCCCCGGAAGTTACCTCAGCGCCCCTGGTGGTATTTCCCGACACAAGGACCCCACAATCCCTTCTCGCTGCAGCGTCTCACAGCTTTGCCGTGTTAGCGTCCTGCTCTCTCCTATCGTTCCGGATCGGTCACCTCTGTCCTCCCTCCGTCCTCCCTCTATCCTCCCTCTGTCCTCCCCGACGGCGAGGTGTCCCCGCTGAAGCACTGCTGGCTCAGCCCGGCCCGGCCTGTCCAGCTTACTCCCCGATGACAACCGTCCTACAGGACACCGATCAGTCTGGGTCGTCCACACAAGTCAACCAGGGTCATCCACACAGGTCAGCCAGGGTCATCCACACAGGTCAACTGAGGTCATTCACACGGGTCAGCCGGGGTAGTTCGATATGAACTTGCATTCCGGACTTGGCGTAAGTTACGTTCAGTGGCGTAAGTTACGTTGCTGGGGATTCAACTGACAAGACCCGGGCATGACTGGGATGAAGAGGTAGGCGGGTGGGCGGCGACAGGATCATGCCAGCAAAGAAAAGTATTGCCGACTGAAGTCCTCAGAGGTGAACGAGTACCATTGGAGTCAAGGGTGGATGCCAACATCTGTTTAGTCTAGCCTATCCAATCCAAACCTTTCAGTCAAAGCCATCAATCAATCCATCAAACCAAGCAAATCTACAAACTGTATTAGGTGTGCAATGAGGGAAGGCCGAGGTCCCCGCGCTGTCCCGCGCCGTAGGGAGGGCGGGGGGGGGGGGGGAAGGGGGGAGGGGGAGGGAGGGAAGTCAGCCGTCCGCCCTCCGCTGCCGTCGGGGACGGCGCGGCCGGCGGCTCGACTCAGATGGCGCCACTGTCACCCGCCGCGCTGCCGCCGCCCGATCAGGCCTGGCTGGACGGCTTTATTATACGGGACGGGTTTATCGGGACGGTGTGATGGCCGGCGGCGGCGACCATCGCCGCCGGGTCCTCATTAGCCGGCCGGCTATCGGACGTCGCCGGCCGCGCGCGCGCCCAATCCTTTTGTTTACGGACGCCACCGCGGCGCTATCGCCGCACTGCGCCGTTTGCGGCGCGGCTATCACGCCGCATCGCGGCCAGCGCGCCGGCGCGCCGCGCTCCTGCACAAAAACCGGTCAATTAATGATAATCTGGCGCGCGGCGGCCGCTCCTCAGGTGTTTACTACTCCAGTTCTGACGTGTTTTTGTGCACGTTGCGAAAGTAGTCGTGATTAGGATTATTTATAGAGGAATTATTGCCAGGAATGCGTAATCTGGCCGTCAACAGACGGACAGCGCAACACAGACTGAAGTGCGTGGAGAGCGGCGGTTTTTGCGCTCGGCTGTGCACCTTGCCGTCCGGCTGTTTCGCAGCCGTGTATGCTCTGATTAGATAAATTGGTCATCCGCTGGGTTGTTTGTTGGCCTCGCCTTGACTCAGTGGCCCGGTGTCTTTGTCGGCTGAGAGATGACAGGTGAGACTGCCCTCCCACCAGACCCTCGCGCGGCAGCACAATGCAGCCGCGATGGAGGATAAGGCTGTATCACGTTTCTCCTAAGGCAGATTTGGGAGGTCGGTTGGAGTCAGAGATGAGATGCGTCGCGGCGAATGCCAACTTTCCTGAAATGGTTGTCTCATCCCGGTTTAAACTTATTGATTCTGGCATGACAAAAATAAAGCGGCACGCGACCGAAACTTATATGTGTCATCTTGTAACTGTCGACCCGAGAAAGGATAAATACGATCAGGAAGGGCAGGCGGCTGAATTCTGGGCGCCCCTCCTACAAGTGATTGTCAAAAGAGGCCCTTGGGGTATTGGAGACACCTAACCGAACGACGATCTTATGCAGAGCGTAGCTGTGGAGACAGAAATTTGCCCAAAAGTCCGATCGGCACGTAAGAAACAATTCTAGGACGCAACATTTCACACGCCGTCGCAGTGCAAGCATTAGCGCACTACAAGACCACGTGCTTAAATCACCTAGCTCCAGCCCTTATAGGCTGAAGACTAACCGCTGCAGAGAAAGTCGCAATAGAAGCTTAACAAAAATAGACTCTTGCCAACTGCCACACTTAAGAGCATGCTATGTTGGGTCTGCACTGAACGTTTCAGCACGCTACATCTAGTTCAGGTTAAAAAAATACGCAATTCCTGTTCCATGAAGCTGTTCATCCCGGTCTTGACGAGCTGTCGTGTTCCTGACCAGCAGTGGGCACCACTGACGAGCTGTGAATGACTCCGGACATGCAACTCTGTGAACCGACCGGACCGGCACGCAACTGCATCCCCGGCGGCGTGACCCCGCGACTTGGCCTGAGGTCACACAACAAAAGGATGCCACCATGTCAATTGTGACCTATCAAGGCTGACCTGAGGTCAGTATTGGCAGGTCAGGTAGTTCTCCAGATGACGCAATCGTGCTAAAAATGCCATGGCATGACTGACCTGAGGTCGTGCTGCAGAGCGGTGCCACCGCGCCGGCCGTGACCTCGGAGGGTGCGGTCGGTGACCCACCGCGACCTGGCGGCCCGCCGGCCACGCCCACGCCGTTGCAGCCCTCCTCAGACCTCTTCAGCGTCGCCATAGTTAGCTGCAGCGGCTGTGGAGGAGAATGGCCGTCGTCAGAATGTGAGGCGACCGAGATCTCTCTGGAGAGGCCGGCTGGACCCGTCAAAACCAGGAGCGGCCCACGAGGCGGAGCGCGGACCGCCAGCGCCACAGGCATTCGGCCGCGCCAGCGCCGCATTTTCGGAAGTCCCGCCTGGACTCACCCACGAGAATGCCCATGAGCACAAAGCAGGGCACAGAGAGCCAGAGGTGTCCTGCCTGACTACTGGCGAAGAGAATGAATGAGTGAATCAAAACAGGGCGCGATGGATTGAGGTGGGACCCTCGGGGCACATACATGCACGTGGCCGGCTTGATTTTGCTCGTGCAATACCCTTACCCGAAGCATTATTTCCAGAAATGGTGTCATTGATTTCATTCATTTGAGTTGTACGATTGTTCCTAGCGCATTGGTTTGACCCATTCTCGGACCGGCTGTCACATATTCGGATACACAAATCCGGATGTCACTGAGTGCCTGACTCCGTCGTGTGACTTAACACACGCCAATTTGATCCCCCCACGAGACCTCAAGAACTAAGAAGGCTAGAGACACCAAATGTACAAGATATCTTGATCTGTACGTGAACTCACTTAGGTCAAATTTTAAGCTTCCTAAGTTCAAATAAGTTCAAACTCCAGGCTGGTCTCCAAAGTGCCCCCAAAATCTAGGCAACTGTTTCTAAGCAAGATTTCACAACCCATTTGAGGTCAGTGACCTTGTTTGACCTTTTGAAGGTCATGGTGAACAAAACCATACAAGACTGGTCTGAATTTTGCGTTCAAATAAGCGACAAAGATTACGCTAGGCAGTATGTTCTTAAAACAAATTGTCGAACCGGGTCATCTTAGGTCAGTAAGCTTTTCTGACCTCTTAGAAGTCAATGGAAGATGTATAATGCGGTTCCTGCTGTCAATAAAGTCGAAATGAGCACCACACACCATCCCATATAGCAAGCCGTAGAGTGATAAATCAGGCTGATTGTGACCTTGGTCTGACCTTCATACCTGACCTTAGGTCAACATAATTTGCTCATTCAATATTCGTGGCGCCTAAGAAAGCATCTCAGAGATGTATGGCTTCGTCAAACACTCCGTTATTGTATCAGATTGGACGATTCCCTAGAAATTGCCTTCGCTGAAACCATGGCCTAACTTTGATCTGCCATAGGTGAGCGACCTTACATGGTACATCTAAATTTATGATGTCAAACGATCCGCTATTCAGTTGTCTACAGCTATGCAAAATTTGGCCGCGCTGTTCGGAAACCATTCTGGATAAACCTTCGGGGGGGGGGGGGGGTCCATTTGACCCCCACCCGAGTGCGTGTTAATCTTTTACTGTGATGATAACATTCACTCATTTCAGAGAGCCAAGAACTCACCAGGTCTAAGAAGCCAGACAATTTGCAGAGACATTTTTCTTGTTTGAATCGCTCGTAGCGCAATCGAACAATCATGCATGACATACAAATCACAGAACAACAATGGGCTTCTGTCTGTTGCAAGAACTGACACGGAAACTCGGATTGCAGTGCAACAATTGAGAGGAAAGAAAAAGTTGTGAGATTTCCTATTTTGCCCTACATTTAACTGCAGGAAATTTGTGTGCTCAAACGATCAAAGGCTCTGTGTTCATCTGTGTCAACTAAACAAGTTCGTGAAGAGCGTCATTCAATGTTATAAAATCACGAAGCTCATAAACAGCTAAAAATATACTGAACTATCACCAGGCATCGTAAATACCACTACTGCAGACTTCAGCGACTTCTAAACCAACTGATGCAGATAGATGCATCTGCATATATCTTCATATATTATACATGCATCTGCATATATGCATCATACATACAAATCCACACGGTGACATGACAAATGAAGACTTATTTTCGGCGTGAAAATCCGAACTGTAACGAGGGTGTGAAGTAAACTTGTTTAGTTAACAGTCTGTTTCAGACAGAGGCGCAGGACGAAGCGACGGCAGGCGGCAGATGGCCTCGGTGACCTCGCTGTTCACACAGGACGCCTCGGATGGCGTCGTCCGCCCAATAATTCGCCATAATATGTTTAAAAGCAAACATCCACCAATATCAATGGCAACTATGGGTGGAAATGTTAAAGCACTCTCTCTACCTTCTCCTGCGGTAAAAGGGCGCGCATGGGTTTTATCCAGGTTCGAGAATATCTTGAAAGCGGCGCTGATCCTGACAGCTCCTTTCCAGACGCGGGCATCTTGTTGTTGTTCTTGGGCGCTTGCTTTCTGGAGTGTCCTGCGGTAATACCTTAGTTGCCCGATCCTCCGAGATAAGCTTCTCGACTCTAAGCTTCATATAAGTATGCGTGCACCCAAGGGGTTTGTCGAGTTGATTGGCTCTTTTTACCTGAATGGTTTTCTTCCTGTCCACGCGCATGTCTCCATAGTTACCAAAGATACGCTTGGAAAAGAGGCAGGGCGTTAGATTCGTCTCTTTATGCGATTGAAAGACTGCGTCGGATTGCTACCATCTTTTTGAGCCGTCTGAAGGCACCGGAGCGGGCTCTTACCACATGGATAATTGGGGGTTGGGGGTGGGGGATGGGGGCTCCCTCATCAGGCACGGCTCTGTGCCCACCATCATGTGACTGTGACCTCATCCTTGCTGACCAGGCGGGTACGGTCAGGCACCCGCTGGCCACCCGTGGCAGACGCTGCTGTGCATTCTTGACCGCCTGTGAACAGGAACACGTCTCCCGACAACGACCGCGTATCGTTGCTTCGGGTGGGGCGAGTCAATGGCTCTTACGCGCGAGCAAATCAATGGTTCTCTCTAAAGATCAAACATTGCGACGGCTTAATCACGTGGATACGTCAGGAATGGCCACAGCCTGTTGCACGTGACTCGCTGTGGTCTTAGCTGGCTGCGAGCCAGATGTTTGTTTGGTAGATTTTGTGGTCAAAATGTCTTTGCAGTGCATCGTATGAGGCCTGGTGGCACCGCATGAGGCCTGGTGGCACCGTATGAGGCCTGATGGTGACTAGTCCAGACTAAGCAACGTCGTCGCAGTTGAGTTTGGGTTTTGGGTTGCATCGCGTTGGGCGTGCTTCTAAAGCATGCAAAGATGTGACTGGCTCCGGTTGTCCCACGCATGGAACCAACACTCCTGAAACGAGCTTCCGCTGTAGCAAGCGAGCCCATTCACCCGAAGCGAGCGAGCTGCTGCACAAATTTGCAAAAGGTATCAGATTCACGGTTATTCACGTTTGTAACTGACATACAATATTTCGCAAGGTCTAATGCCTAAAAGACCGTTGTGTTGTATAAGCTCAGGGTCTATACCGCATGTGATGGTTAGCGAAGACTCTGAACCAACTTCGTGATGTTGATGTTCGCTCCCCAGTTTTCCTCACATGTCAAGATGGAGCGTCTCTAGGACATTGCAACTTATGAATAAGTCCAGTGGAACTTTCCACTTTCCCACTTTCCGCGGAACCCACTTTCCGCGGAACGATACCCATTTTTGGCCACTTTACCATGCCGAGTTATTTCAGCATTCCTACACACAGACATTTTGCTCGAGTTTGACACGCTTGCAAAATCAAAACTACATGGCGACCAGTGAGAGTCCATGGTCTTATTCCAGAACTTCCAAGTTATGTCTGCTTTTAAGTGAAAATGTTTGTATCGGGCTTTAATGTGTTGGCATTGGCTTAACATCAGTTAACGCGAGTCTTTTCTCCTAGTAATGGCAAGCGTGGCCGACCCTCGTCCTAACGCTGGATCGAAGGGTGTTGGGTTAGCGTACGGCGCAACGCGGCGTTGCAGTCAGAGGCGGCTAATCAAAATGCACGACCAAAAGCGTTCTACACGGAGCGTGCTGCATATCACATAGAAACACGCCTCTTCAGAGACGGTTTATCACGCCACTTCGCGGGAGTCCGGACGGCGTACCAAAAGCGCCGAGTAGTTGAGCCTTCGCCAGAACCCAGGATGGAGCAAGCTCTCCAAGTTCCCGCTCTGACCAACGCTATTACCTTTGGTCTGGTATGGCTTCCATGAACTAAAGCTTTTCATTCGTTTCCTCACTGGTCACAAAAACGCCGGCACCGCACTCAAAATAAGCTATACCGACGTAAAAAACTTTCGGGTGAACTTTATTTAGGGTTATACAGAGCGCTATCAGAACTAAAAAACTGAATTGTGCGGAACCTTAGAACTGAATGCTGCACACAAGCAGGTGGCGTTTTTAGTTCCGCGGCCGTGGTTGGTGATATCAAACCACGCCTTCGATGGAAGCGGCCACAATGCTAAAATTGGGCTATCCAGTTATACTTTAAAGCAACCATTGTATCGCTAGGAGTCATTGTCACTAGTCAAGCAAATATTGCATCCTAAGGACTGAGACAGTTAAAGATGCAGACAGAACACTGTGCTTACCGGTACTTAAGCCAGCTGTAAGATCACACCACAGCGCGAGAAGCCCTCAGCCCCACACGATCTGAACAGCGAGCGTGTTACCATTCACCACTCGCAGTTGACCTGATAAGGGTACACTAAGTGCGGAAGTGCAGTGGAATGCCTCAGGCCGCCTCTCAAAACATGGCCTCGAAATGGGCAGTGCGCTCTGAAGCATGCATTGCGGATGCGCTCCAGAATCTGTCACAGCCCAGAAATATCCGGGCTACATTGCTCAGCCCACCTATTCAGCTTGCGTCGCAGGTGCTTGCATTTGTACCTGCATCTAATATTCAGGTGGCGCTCCGACAAAACTACCGGCCGCAAATCACTCATTGGAGCAAAGCAGCTAAGACGATGTAAAAATTTACCATACCACCAGACGTTCAACTGGAAAGAAACTATGGGGAAACACTACCATACATCCTGCAGAAGTTACACACCAGTCTTAGATTACCCATAAAGAGTCTCCGAGCCGAAGCAGGCCAGCCCGTCTAGTGGAATCGCTATTTGACTAGCTGACCAGCAAGAGGACCGGGGTACCGCATTGCGGCCCACTAGCCGGCTCGGACCCTCCCGGCAGCGGACAGGTCACGAGGTCGATGGGGTCCACAGGGGTCAAGTTCCTATTCACTTGGGGGGGGGGGGCTTCACTCTCTCATCCAATCCTAGCTCCAGCCCCCCCCCCCTCCCCCAATTGCATCGATGACAAAGTGCAGGCTGGGCACCGGTGGGTGTTGTCGCCCTGCTTGCCGCTGAATGCCGGCGCCAAGAAAGTTTGAGGTTTCAGTACTTTCCTGCGCGCTTTGTTCCTCGGTCTTGCCCACTGTGAGAGGATGAGCAGGGTGAACAGGCTCGTAGCATCGCTCCTTAGAAGAGGATGAGCAAGTGAACAGGTCGGTGACTTGCTCTCGGCGAGAGGATGAACAGGTAAACAGGTCGGTAGCTCGCTCTCTACGGGAGGATGAACAGGTGAACAGGTCGGTGGTTCACCCGGACACCTATGACATTATGCTGAACACCGGGAAAACACTGGCTCAGTCAGGCCGAGGCCCATCGCATTCAGGGACCGGCGGGCGGCTCTCGTCCACAGTCGCGGTGAGTAGATCTGATTGACAGGAGACTGGACCGTTTGAACTCGAAAGGCATGCCAAAGGGGATGAGCGGGCTTTCAGGACGAGGACCTCCGTTCTCTTGACATCGCCTGTCATGATGGTCGTCATTGCAGACCTTAGGGCATCCTCGCGTGGGTAGTTAGTTCACAGCCTCCTCCGGGGTTTAGAGCAACGTCTATCGACTTGTAAGCCCTTCTCTCTCCACGCTGGCTGTCCAGAAACCTCGAGTTCATATCATCAACAGCGAAGCTTTTCGGCGCCATGGAACGACCAGCTCGCTGAGGCCTGGTTGTGGACTCTTGGTACCATTATTCCCAAGTCACAACGCCCCGGGCGAGGTGCCGTCGACAAAATCTACGTTTTCTCTGGAGTGAAGCTTGACTTGGCTACTATTGTCTCTGGACCTGGCCGTAGCCAACTTGAAAGAGTTGGTTGGCAAAATTCCCCGCTGCTTTGTCGCCACTTAAGTGCACACACGTTGGCAGTGAGATGCTTGTTGGTGCTCTGTCCACAGAGGTCAAGTTCCTTTTCACTTGGGGGGGGGGGGGGGGGGCTTCACACTCTCACCCAATCTTAGCTCCAGCCCCCCCCCCCCCCAGCTTCAGCTCCAGCTTCCCAGCTTTCCGATAAAAACGTTCCAAATCCCAAAAACAAAACATACCTTTGCGTATTTCGGAAGCGAGTTGAGACATTCTTTTTCATGCACGTCCCCAAACCAATTTTGAGAGACTTGGCCACCGTCTGTCCGTCACTTACCGCTCATGACTCTGTAAGCTGTGTTAGTCACAGAAAAACATTACCGCGTAGGATCATCTCTTTGGAACCACCGGTCAATTGTTTAGTGCATTCTACTGGCCGTCATGCTGCGGTTTTACTCTATCCGCCCCTTGCAGTTGGTAGATATGAATCGTTTAGCACGCGGAAGCCGTTGCTTTTTTCCTTGGTCCGATAAGCTCCAAATGGCACTGAGCCAGCCACCACCACTGCTTACCCTATGGGGCAGGCTGGCTCGCACCGCGCCCTGCACGGTGGTCAGAGCTGGCTCAAAGAGTTATATAAACCTTCCCTTCGTGACAACTGATACAGAACATATAAGCTTTCTTGGATCTCCAACACCACCAGCGATCCTCTAGTTATGAGAGACCAAACGGCAGAGTTTCCTCTGTTATATAAGACAAGCCCCTTGCATCATGCGCACTTCTGGCAGAGAGTCATGGACTTACATACAAGCCTCTTGCATCATGCGCACTTCTGCAGAGAGTCATGGACTTACAAGCCCCTTGCAATCATGCGCACTTTCTGCAGAGAGTCATGGACTTACAAGTGAGCAAAATAGACAGAAAAAAGTAAAGGTTTGGTAATCTTGTGAAGGGCATGCGGCATGCATGTTACTACATACCACACACCGCATTTGATGAGAATGCTCGTATGCATGCGAAAGGAAGCAAAACTTTTCGAGTCGGCCGCTAGGTACGTCATACAAATGTATATTCAAAACAAAATACATTTCCTGCACTTGCAGTGTAACACCACTATAAAAGACGGGTTCGACTGACATAAATACAGGCATACTGTCAAAACAGGGATCGAATCATGAGAAGGTTATCACAATAAAAATGATGATGGAGGTGTGGAAATGGATGTAACCACGCCTCTGACTCTGGGGGGCAGATCAGAATTGAAGGGGTCAAACTGGAGTTCTGGCCTTAAAAAGTTTATACTTTTTAACCTAATCCTTCCCAGTAAATTTCGTCACCAGTATCGCGACTAGATTAAATGAAATATTTTGTATTCCGCCAATGAGAAGTTAAAAATGCTGGAAAATGATCCCAATATCGGAATCAACTGACCCTTAAAAAGCATTTCAGTCGGAAGACATGAAAACACGCAATGCTGGGGAAAGTTAGAGGGAACATAATCACACCCTGCAAAAAAGAGTAAACGTCTCCCCCTGCCCTCTCCACTGGTAACACTCATTGATGTAGTGAGACTTGGTTATCTGGCGGATAGGGTACGTCACCAATAACGCGGGTGGACCGTTGTGATTGCGTGTGACCTTTGACCTGACGGCCGATCGGAGCCGGTCATCGACGTGAAACATGCATCCACTGCAAAATCAACACCAGCGATGACGCATGTGATCACCCTGCACATAGATCCGAACAGTAGCGTTTATTACAAACGTTTCTTGACAATCTACACTGAATTCTTGTTTTAGGGAAATCGAAATTCGCCATTTTGCCTGGACCAGTTTATTGAGCTGCTACTTGAGTTCAAATTAGAGCCGCATGAGTCCTGCATTTTCTTGCATTTTTTTCGGCCGTATATTTTCGTCTCACTACAAACTGTAGCCTCAAACACGCTCTCCGCCTCTGCCGAGCATTGCGGCACCATCAGAGTTGTCTCGCGCTGCTCGGTCCGGCACCCCGTCGCCGACACGACCCACGCCATGTGCCCTGCACTGCTTGGCATTGGAAGCTATGCCTGACGGCGCCGTGTGAACGCGGGTGATCGTGTGGGAGCCAGACGGTGGCGGACGCAGTGGGTCACCATCGCAATTCCTGTTCAATGGCTCCATCATCGTCACCGCCCTCGTTAGGCTATTGGGTACACGCTTGTGAGTGCTTTAGCGGAAACGCAATTCACTACTTTTCAAACCATGCAGCCAACTGTGAGTGCGAGGGTGAGACAGATAAGATATTGATTTAGACGCACGAAATATCGACAACAGTTTGCCCAAATCGGTTACGCCAGCAGCCACAAGGGAGCAAAATATCAACGTAGGAAATGCTGATATAGTGATATAGTGGCATAGTATGAGGCAGGAGCCTAAAGACAATGCCCATGCTTTCTGATGGAAGCAGTGGTTAAACCAAATCAACAAGCCTTAGGTACAGAGGTCACAAATGCTAGAAAGCACGCAGAGGTCACAAATATTACAGGTCACGCAGAGGACACAAAAGTTAGCTGCGGCGACCACTTCGGGCGGCTGTCCCTCGAAACGCGTCTTCTTCTTCACCCAGTAAGTCTGCTCAATACCCGAGTGCAGCACTCCCTAAAACGCGATGACGTGGACCAACTGGAGTTAAAGAGCCGCGCCAAACCCACCTCTCACAGGGCTTCCGCGAAGACCATGCTGAAGACGCGTCAAAACCGGCTACCAGAACGGCTTCTCTATTTCCGACCGTGTCACCCGCCGTGTGAAATGCTGAACATCCACTATTACCAAGCACAACACACGGGGCCTGCTCAAACAACACCAGATAGCTGCTCAACGCCAGAGACCGCCCCGTGAATAACTCCGTTATGGCCCGAGAACGCTTGCCTACATCACGCCAGTACCAGGAACTGTGCACACCGGGTGACCGTTCCACAGCGTGACATGAGCCGCCGACGTCGCAGCCGGCCCACCGCAGTTACGTTTCAACCTTTGCACGCCAGGTTGACACCGGTGGAAAGGTCAGCAACTGTCGGCCTCGCCGTGTCAGACCAGACGGAGCCGTACCCACCAACTGCACTGCAACAGGTGCATTTTATCACATATTGTGCAATGATCACCTAGCCGGCGATTGTGGGTGGTGTGAGTGGCTCGTGATGCTGGTAGTGGTCGGGGTGGTGGGGGGCGTCGCCAGGGCTGGCGGGGCGCGCCTGACGTACCTCGTTGCTGTTCTCGAGAGTTCTGCGCGCTGGCAGGCCGCGCTCCAGCCGTCCGTGGCCATGGCCTCCCCCTGAGCCTCCTCCTCCATGGACGCCTGCGGACACAGGGCGCGAGGGGGGCGCGCGTTCGGCACGATCGTCAGCTGGCGCACCACGTCCGTCCGGCAACCGCGCCCGGCTCGGCAGTGAGCCGCCGCCGCGCCGGCCTGCCCCGGATTATTTCTCAGCCCGATCCCCCTAATCCCACGGTCCTAATCCGACACTTAATCCTGGATTAGGCGGCGGCGGCGGGCCGGGTCAATACGGCCGCCCCGGCCGTCGGACTCGTACGGCTGCTGGCGCGCGCCGCGCGTGGCCGCCACCGCCGCGCGGTGCTCACACCGACCGACCGAGTTCGCGCGAGGCGCGGCGAGACGTGACCTCGCGACACCCGCGCCGCACTGTGACGTCAGCCGCCCCACCCGCGCGGCCTCGAGCCCCGCACGGGGCAACGGCGGGGCGTGGGCAACGGGCGGGGCAGTGACGCCATGACCAATTATCGCCCACCGCCGCCGCGCGCAGTCAGCCTTGCAGCTGCGGGGAAAGCGCGCTATGACGTTGCGTTGTTAGCGCCATGCTACTCATAAGACACGTGCACGCTATCAAAAGAACGATGTGCTATGTCGCTTCCCCATCGCGTACGTCAGCTTCGAAGCGTGAATAAGAGAGAGAGAGAGAGAGAAGAGCGAGAGAGAGAGAGAGACGAGAGAGAGAGAGAGGAGAGAGGAGAGGAGAGAGAGAGAGAGAGAGAGAAGAGAGAGAGGGAGAAGAGAGAGAGAGAGAGAGAGAGAGAGAGAGAGGAGAGGAGAGAGAGGAGAGAAGAGGAGAGAGGATGAGAGAGAGAGAGAGAGAGAGAGTACAGGAGCATGCAGAGGGGGAAAATAAACATAAAAACAATGTTCAGGACTAGTATAAGGCCGCAGCACCGTAATGCAGCACTGGCGGATCGACCTGCTGATCCAGAAGCGCAGATGTTGGCCTGGCACGCGGAGAGATCGGCCGGGCGCGCCGCAGGTCACAGTTGGCCTGCTACTCCCAGGGCCGGCCCACTCAACGACCGATCGAGTCAGGCGGACGGGCCTTCCGTTCCCAATCAGATTAAATGCCCGGCTCCCATGGGCTGAGCATTGACCCCGTTTCCAGGCTGACTGTGGATTACGGCGGGATCAAATTAGGCTGAGCCGGGTCCGCCTGAGATCGGATTAGGCGTGGCGCCTGCGTCGGATCGACGCGCTGGTCAGGCAAGGTTATCGAACAGTGCGATCCAGATCGGTCCAGATGACCAGGTACAGTCGCAGATGCGTTTATGTATGGCATCTGCCTTCGAGTTACGTATCTGATCGATATAATTGGATTTAATTGGACTATTTGCGGCAGGACTTCAGTACTTGTCTGATAAGTTTCAAAAATGCTCCTACTTGTGAATTATTCTGTGAACCCGACAAAACTGAGCTGTTTGAAGACGGTCCCTTTTAGCATTCTGAGGCACGAAGGGCTTTCTTCACCCGGCTGGCAGGGTGTTCAGCGCACGATATTAGCACGTGGAGCAGCCTCAGACAATATTTGATTTACTGACTAGTTCTATCATTTGTCACGTCAGTCACGTGGATCGCGATCATCTGCAACATGGAATCGGGGGGGGGGGGGGGGGGGGGGCGGGAAGAACCATATACCGGGCTGTGATTTGAAGAGAACAATGACAGTGAACGCCCATTTTCCGCCGCGGGAATAAAAACACGGTTACCGTATTTGGCTCATTTCGTCCGAGTATTTAGCAACGAAATAGTACACGAACGCTTGCGACAGACGGAAAACACGACGGGTCCCACTGAAACATTCACAAAATGATCGAGATCATTCCCTCAGTGTCAGAACGAGGGCCGGCCCGACAAAGGCCAACTAGCATCTAGTAAAAGATGCCTGACCTGCTAGGAGCACACCGTGTGGGATCATTATACGGCACAATAAGCCCCGCGGCGTCCGAGGTGCGAAAAGGTACAGGCAGGCGGCGTCTCAAGTACGGAAAGGTACAGACAGACGGCGTCCGAGGTACAGAGGGGTACAGGCAGACGTTTGCACCTGATTGTTCTCCGCGGGACCAAAAGCGCTATGACGGATAAAAATGGCCGGAGTCAGAGCTATCTGACGTTCCCCATAGCGCAACGTACACGCAACAGGTTTCTGTCAGCGATTGCTTATGAGAACAAAGAGACCCGCGCTAGTCATTCCGCAGAAACATTTTTATATAATCATGCACTGAAAACCGTACGCCAGCCGCGTCACTGCCACTACTCTGGCCTCGTTGGCTCTAACGGCAGGCCAGAGCTGCTTGACTTCAACTGCCGCGGATGGAAGAAGCCAGAAGCTTCTGGCATGAGTGGGCAGGTGTCTGTACGTGGGTGGCTGGTCTGAACCATCATCACAAAAGTATGGTTTCCTTTACCCGGCCGGCTCGACAGAACGTTTTACGGTGACATCGGCAAGTACTTATTCGCTCGCCCTGCTCTCATCGGCTCTGGCATGGACATGGAATCTGCGTGGGACCGAACAGAATTGCCTCGACGCAGAGCTTGTGACTTGTTGGCTGTTGTGCTCTAACAAAACCAGGCTCATCAAATATGTGATATGCGCTGTATTTGATAATTGGGTGTGGATATTTCTTAAAAGAATTGCAATGCATTCCTTAATCCTCCCTTGGAAACAGGATTAAAGAGAATGTTCTATGAAGAGAATGAATTCAAGAGAATGATTAACTTGAATGTTAAAGAGAATGTTCCACATTTGAAGGCATTGAGACAAACATTAGATGTGATGAAATAAACTTCCTTGCAGCTGTTAGTATACTTGTAAGCGTAAAAATTACTCTAGACAACCAATTGCACTACCTAATGAATACATTCCTCAATACCTCGTCCTTTGAATGCGTCGTGGAACGTTTGTGTGACGCTAGAGGGGCTTCGAAATTGACCACGCGAAATAGGCGAAGGGGAATGGATATCAAAATTGACCCAGGGCAAGCAACTCGTCGGTCGTGGGCTGCCAGATTCAGCAAAATGGTTACAAGCGTGATCCCAGTCCAGGACCGTTTTCCCTTGGCACGAAAAGCCCGGATCGACATTACGGAAGCCCACTATTGAAATAAAAAAAACGACAATAATTCGATGGACTCGTGTGAAAAAGCATCGCATGCTAACCATAGTGTTAATATCTATCAACATCAATAACATCACATAAAAGCAGGACTTCCAAATTGGTGACCTCACGTGGCAACACCGCACGTGGCGACAGGCAGACTTTTTCACTGCACTGACATCCTGCAGTGCCTGATTGAAAGACTAGAATTGCAGAGCAGCCCGGCTCCTGTTACTTCCTATTTCAGCTACCGTTCAAGCTGCGGGCCCAACGTGGAGCCACTTGATTGCAAAAAAGCTGACAAAAGCTGCCGGAAATGGGGCTGATACTACGCGCATTAAATTGCCATGACGTCACCGCAGTGGCTTATAATGGGGCGCCGTTCCAGTTGTCACGACACCTGTAGACTCCGAGTTATGATGTAGCAGGTCCAAGCACCCGAGGAAACATTTCATCGCGATGAGTACTTCAAAGCCATGGGTTTGCAGATGCACTGGTTAATGCATTACGATGGAGATCGAAGTACCTCTGGTGAGCGCTCTTCAATTTCCAGCTTCCTGAGAGACGAAAACTCATTCTGCTTGTGGGGGAAAATCTGTCCCCGAGACATTTTCCAGCATCGATTTAGTCGGTAGGGTTTTAGCAAAAGTAGTGCTAGGTACTAGGGCCCGTAACAGACTTAGCGTATTTCGTGAACCATTAGGAACACATTGATGCCAATGCACGAGGTAATGCGCTTTGACGCCTGTTACCTTCCCATAACATGACAAATATCCTCAACAGTTATAACTTGGAGAACTAATTCTCATCTTGCTAGGGAGAGGGAATCAATGCCGGGGTCTATGCAACATATAGATTTGGAGCTGTACCTACCTGAGTTTCCATCACGTGTTCGCAGCATGCTTGTTTATATGCAAAATCTAACAGAAACCATTTCGACACAGTGATGTTGGAAATATTTTCTGGAACGTTATATATATATATATATATATATATATATATAACATTCAAATGCCTTATATCCTGTCGTAAAACGATGTCTGTCAGTGTTCATCACTTATACAGCAAAGGCGGATGCATCAATCCATGGTGATATAAAGCTCCTATGCGATCATGAAGGTTCAGAAGATATCCAAGATAGAAGATAGCGGATGCATCCAAGATCTGGGCCCATTACTAACGGCTTTTAGTCTTGGACGACGTCAGTGGCAAATTACGCAATGAACAAAGAATGCAAGGTCTTCTTTAGCCCGTCCAACGGTTTCAGACGCCGGTGATGCCTTCATGCAAATGAACAGTGGAGCACCTTGATAGTATGATGGAGTCTCCTCTGACACTGGAACAAGAATCGACTTGAGCATACCAAGCTGATCCCATCCCATCTCTACCTGACACATACAACTAACCCATACACTCCCGCATGGCAGGCTCCTAGCCAGCAATTATGCGAGTAGTTGAAAGATCCTTGATACATGACCGCAACAAGACGACAATGATTCAACAGTATTTGACCATTTTGTAACAAACGTTTGCATCTAAGCGATGAAATGACCGTGGATGTTTTGAAAATTTTGGATGCGATAATCGTTAGTCGAATATCGTCCGCAAAGTATTCGCTGATCGTAGATGAGTTTTGGCTATGGGACTTGATTATTAAGAATTCGCTTGCGGTAACAGCAAATGATGATGCATTTTTACGCTTGGTTCACAGATATATCTTGACTTAAAAGCACAAACTGCATTCCAAGGGGATGCATCAGTCACGGTGATGTACATGATATTGCTTTATATGGCACACCGTTCGAATCTTCCCTGACAAAAAAGTAATGCCATTTCATCCTCTGCACCGCTCGCAAAGCATAGGTAAACCTTATAAACGCCCTTTCGTGTCATGAATCGATCCTCTGTCACCACAGGTGGGACCTGTCAATGACCCACAGTCCTGCGAGGTATGTCGATCATAAATAACAGTGTGCCTCCAGCTGCCTTTTACACACGGCTCTATTCAAGTCAAAAGCTTGAACAGAGCTTGAGTCGCGCCGATCGTTTTCAGTCCGCTGGGCGAAGGTCGGTGCGGCTTGGGTTCGAGTCCGAGCTAGAGACGCCACTTTTCAACCCGCATGCGTCTAACCCGCAAGAGCCCGCCAGCATTTGGCCGGGTTGTGGGCACGAGTTGGCGGGCTTTGCTGGTCAACAATTCTATCAAGAGAAATGATGCATTTTTGCCACTACAGAAGTTTTAAAACAATACAAGATCTGCGTGTGCTGTGCGACATTGTGCGATTATGAAAAGCCTGGTTTGTACTTTTCTCATATTTTTATTTTGAATGGCAGTAACAGAAAACCCATACGGAAATGACAACAGAAAAGCAGGTAATGCAAATTAAACACTTAAAACGAGCATCTCGCTGAAAAGCCATTAACAAGTCCAGAGTTGCGTTGCTTCGCCTGATTTCATTGAGCAGTTAGGTGGGCCATTTATATAAACACAGCTACATGCTACACTTGGCTGCAAAGCTGAGGCACACTTAAAGGTTCTGGTTTTATACACGGACCATATCAATATCCATAGTCAATGAAATACTGGGAAGCCGTGTTACTGGCGTATCAAATGCACAGCAGGTGTCGAATTATAAATAGGCCTTGATGGTAGCATCAAGTCTGTGTATTCCTACCTGAAGAACATACGATTCACAACTGGGATAACAGTGGCTATTACGTACGAAACGTTTATCCCTTACCGCAAATGCCATTACATTTCAACATATTTTTCTCATTAAGACTTTGCAATCATTCTGTGTCAAACTGAGAATCGTTCTGTGTGCTCTTCCCATCCATTTTTATATGCAGCAAGATCAATCTACATGTGAACCGCGTAGAAGGTAGCTGCCATATGAAAATCTGTGATTTCAGACAGGTTGTAGCAGATAAGGCCATAGCTAGCGATGCTAGGAAGCAGAGGACCCAAGCACAACACTGAAAATGCGTATAGCGATTTTGGTAATAAAAGCGATAGCTACAAAAACGATTTTGCAGCGGTGCAGACATCTTGCCAATTCTCACGCTCTGAGAATCGAACTTTCCTCTGGATAGCGTCATCACGGGGCTCTTCGACTCCCTCAGATGCTGAGGCTATGTGGCAATGTCTGCATTTCTCTCTGGCAGGAGAAAGACAAACACCGTGGGAACTGAACCCCGTGCCTTTCGTTTGTCATATGTGTATTAAACACTACGCTATCGGTACTCCATCTGCACTACCGCCCCCCCCCCCCCCTCCCCCAGAAGCACATGCAGGGGGTGGAGACACAGGGGTAAAGGCCCCCTTAGGTTCCGAGATGCCCTTCGGACCCCTCGGAACCTAAGTTAAGCGCCCCGATTTCAGGGTCCGAGGTTTGAGCGTCCGAAAGGTCGGCCGAAGATCGTATTCACGGGCCCGGCCCGCAGAGCCGGACACTCCAATGCCAGCCAGGAGGCCCTGCGTACTGATCAGGAGCCCCCCGAGTCGGAAAATGCGCATATATCGGTCAGGCACCATCAACAACGCGCAGTCGGGCTCCGTGTTGAGACGGGTCTGAGAACCCATTTCCCAAGCAGGGAGAGAGCAGTAGCAGACGATTTACATTGGTTGGGGCCCAGCGTCTGTCGGGGCCCCACAGCTCCTAACAGGGGCCCTAAGTTGGAAAGGGGCCCCGAGTCAGCCAGACGTAGTGTTCGAGGAGGCCCGAAGAGCTTGGAGGGCCCCAGCGGGACCGACAACCAAGGACCAGATTGGAGGGCATAAGGGTAACGAGGGGCCTGTTGGAATCCTATTCAGCGGCCGCGGCCTGCGCGGACGGGCCCCCAAATGACAATCAGGGTGCTTTTTGCACCGATCGAGGACCGTCTCAGTAGACATAGACCTATATGTCGGCCAGTCACCACCAGCACCGGACAGCCGGGTCCGTGTCGGTGTGTGCCTGATCGTCCACTTCCCAAACAGCCACAAGGTCAGGGCCAGCGATTTACTCTGGTTGGGGCCCTCTATCTGTCAGGCGCTGACAGTGCCTAACCGAGTCTGCGTTTGCAGAGGGGGAGTGGGGGAGGAGATCGAGCCGACCAAGGGCAGTGTTCAATGAGGCACGAAAAGGGGCCTGGGCGACCCACCGAAGCCAACGCACAAGGGCTTCCTTGGAAGGCGTAAGGACCAGAAGAACTGGCTGCAGACCACACAAAGAATCGTGGCTCGTTGGGGCCGTGACCTGAAATATTGGTCCGAGGTCCTCTTGTACCGTTTGAGGACCCCAGAGGACAGTGCGGGTGTCTCAGTCGGCCAAAGGCCACGAACACCGAACAGTTGGCTCCATGTGAAGTCTGAACCTTGGGGCCCCCATTTCTCAAGCGGAAGCGAGGGCCGCGGGGACGATTTGCATTGGTAGGCCCCTGAAACAATAGTGAGGGCCCCTGTAATCGCTCAGAGCAGTGCCCTGTACCGCAGTGCCCTTCAAAAGGGATCATGCGTCAGGCAGTGGCCCCGAATCGGTCACGGGTTCTTGTGTGGGGAGGTCTGAAGAGTGGCCGAAGGTTCTCTCGAGACCAAAGACCGGGAGCCCGATTGGAAGACTGGATGTTCCGAAGGTCTTGATAAAGATTAAATAATAAAATCGAAGATTAAATAAAGGACGGAAGGACAGAAGGACAGTAAAAATACCACTACCCGTGGGGTCGTGATCTCACATGTTTGTTAGATGGCCTGTTATACCGATTCGGAACCCTGACACAGAGCGTTCGTCTATTTCGGCCAGAGATCAACAGCACCGAACAGTTGGCTCTTAAACGGTTCTGAACTTTTGGAGCCTTTTTCCTAAGCGGGAACAAAGCCGGGCCGGCGATCTGCATTGGCAGGAGCGCTGCAACAATGCGGAGCTCCGGTATGGGTCAGGGGCCCAGTGCCTAACAGGGGGCTTGTGTCAACAAGGGGTCTCGAGTCAATCAGGGGAGCATTTTCTCAACAGGAGCGGGGCGGGACCCCGAATGACAGACTACCTCTTTCATTGGTCGCGCCGTCTGACAATGAAAGGGAACATGGAAACGTATGATGAGTGTTCACACTGAGGCGATGGGAGTCACTTGGTCACAGTGTTCACACTGACAGGTCACAGTGTTCACACCGACAGGTCACAGTGTTCACACTGAGGTGATGGGGTCCTGTGACAGCCAGGGCTCTCCGTACCGGACGGCGGGAGGCCCTCCAGCCCAATTCCAGCATGAACCCCTTAAGCCAAACTGGAGTCTATGCGTCAGTTATTTGACCACCTGCGGCGAGCAAGGATGTTTTTGCATCAATAAGGGTTCCTCCGCTGATCCGGAGCCAACAGCGCAGGTCGAAAGACCTCCTGCATTGGAGAGGGAGCCAATGTGGTCTGGTATATTCCTCTAAGGGCATCCGGATCGACCAGGGGTCGCCCCGTGACGTCAGCATGACAGCCGGAAGACAACCCGCGGTAGAACGGAATACCTCTTCAGCCCTTGATCAGGAACAATATGTGTCCCCTAGTGTTCTACTCAAGGGAAATATTGCACGGAAATATTTAAGGGGTCTCATTTAACCTGAGTAGAGTAGAGAGAACCTGAGAAGCTGAGTAGAGTGGGTCAAAATGAGTTCAAAAACGACCTAAACCATTCCATGTTTGCCTGATAACGTTCTTTCTTTTACAGAGTGAAACACATTACATCAAAATATTTCACGAATCTCGGTAGCGAGGACAGCGATGGTCTGGGTTACAATTTCCGTAAACCGAACGGCGTTGGCCACCGGCAAGTAATACCAGACGGTGGGCATTGTGCCTGCAAGAACGACCATCGCGAAACAATGGTTTCGAATGTCTTTCAAAATCAATTCGTACCGTTCAAAGATAAGACGGCGTATCATTTTCCCAACCTTGAGGTTGTCCTCTGAGCAGATTAACAGCTACAGGAACGCGAAAAAGAGGTCATATCTTTGCTCTTCCAGTGCCCCACCAGATTCCAACAATATTTCGCAGTGCTGTAAAGACCAATGCATTTTTATGGTCAATCTAAAATCGCACCGGTAAAGTATACGCCCGGACTTCCTTCTAAATGCACGATTTGATGCCCTAGAGCGTTCAAAGATACTTCTCTCAGATGCGACATCATTTTCGTCGGCCATTGGTCACGGCTAAGCGCTCGCCGCAGGGCCGACGCTGCGCGGCCATTGCAACGATTGACGTCGGAGGTTTTGATACCAAGATTTGTGAGCGCGAATGTTCAAACCTACGTAACACAATTTGTACCAATAGTTGCTTTTGAATGAATGTTGATCATTTCCAAAAAAAACATGGCGTGGCCATGTTGATACAAATTGTGACAAATAGCGTGCAATCCA